TTTTGTGAACCAGAAAATGAAGGTTTTGCAATCTGATGTACAGTTAAACTTAAGTATGTGAACAGCATCTTTGTACACATCAGCATGAACACATCAGTGTGAGTACTATCAACCATGTTTTAAGATAATACACATATCCTCAATTTAATGTGCTTAGATATACACAGATTATTCAATGTTGTTTTTGAGGTATAAAGACATGAGAATTCCTCACAGAATCTGGAGTTCACAGATGAAAATCTTGTCATTAACAGGGTGACCAAAAAAAACTTAGTTTTGGAATATTACTTTTTCAAGTATGATTAGGAATCATAAAACTCATAATGAAGGAATCTTAATAAATTTCTATGTTTAGATAGCTTGTTCAATGCACAAAACAGCATTGACAGATTAGAACATGTTTTCCATGGTGGTATGCTCTGATGCCAAACCTCTGATATTATCGTATGATCTGTAAAATGAAGCCCTCTAATTGGTCAGTTCTTGTGCTGTACCAATCTGTATTGCTACTGAGGTTGTCCCAGTTGACCATCTCTGTCGCAATACAGAAAATATTGGTACGGAGGGGACAATCTCAGTAGCAATACAGAGGATCACACGATAAAAACATTATTGAATGATTTGAAGTGCAATACAGGATATATTCTGTCTTGGCACTCGACTTTGTCTCGTTCCAATACAAAATTCTCTAACAGAATATATCCTGTATTGCACTTCAAATCATTCAATAACTTATGGTATTGATAATATGAATGAAAGCAATCCAGAAATAACTCAAATAAAGACAGGAATCTCAATTCAGAAAATTGTATTTTTGAACATTTCTGGACAATTTCACATGCGAAAAGCGATCATACCTAGACAGAAAATGTAATTACTCTAAATCTCAATATCATGGATGCAATAAAATTACAGTTTTCCCCATTGAACACTCTGTAACACACAAAAATCCATAAAGATTCCACCATATTTGAGAAAGTTATTCCGAAATTAGAGGGTAGAGTTTTTGTGGTCACCCTGTATATTGAATAATGTGAATTACATTTTTAGAAGTGTTTATCATCAATGTAATCAAATGTGTAATAAGCATCATCAAAATATGAAGTTGTCATCATCAAATATATAACATGCATCATCAATTTGTGATCATCATCAATGTTTCAAGTATTCTTAAAAAGAGTAGGAAATGTTCATGAAAAATGAATTGGTCATTATCAAATATTAAGTGTTCATTATCAAAATATGACATGTTCATTATTAAAATATGAAGTGTTCGTTATTAAGATATGAAGTGTTCGTTATTAAAATATGAAGTGTTCGTTATTAAAATATTAAGTGTTCATTATCAAAATATGAAATGTTCGTTATTAAGATATTAAGTGTTCATTATCAAAATATGAAGTGTTCGTTATTCAGACATAAAGTGTTCATTATGAGCCTAAGATATGACACACTCATGAATATATACTGAAGTGCTTGTCATTGAAATTGTTGTACATGTATTTGTCAATGAAAATATGAAGTGTCGATGAAGTGTTCATCATTAAAAGTTAAGATTGTGTTCCCCTTCAGTGTTTGAAGTGTTCAGCATTAAAATATGTATACCTGAAAATATGAAGTCTTCTTCATAAAAAATGTAACTCATTATTGAATTGTAGTACATGTAGTGCTTATTTTGAAAATATGTTGTAATCTTTACCACCAAATATGAATGGATGTACCATTATATGAATGTTCTTTATTCACAAGGGGTGGACCATTATCAGTGATCTCCCCCTCAACACTTCAGTGTGAGAATAATCATAAAATGTGGCATTATCTTAGGTCAACTTTGCCAAAACTGTGGAAATACGATTTTGCAGCGAAAATGACCTTGAGAGAATTTAAGGGTTTAACCTTTTACATTTTGTGATATTTTCTTTGTATGTACTGTTTAGTTTTACATTTTCATTTAGGGATGAAATGTTGACATGAAAAAACAAAATTAATTTTGTTCTGGTTTTCCTTCCCCATTCTCCATTCAACAGAATTAGATTTCACTTGAAAGCAACAATTTTCACAAACAAAATCTTCATCCCCCTTCCTAAAGAAATGAACTTGTTTTCAGACAACCCTTGTCAATTTGACACTTTCCCTTATAGTCCAGGAAACCATTTATCACATTTGTATTTATTCATCATTTGCCAATGTAAATACCCAAATGCCATAATCATTTATTTATTTTGTGTACATATTTTTAAACTTGTTTGTATAGATTGTTATATTATGTTAGGCTCCAAAAATGTCACGATGACCATATATTCTCTGGAAAATCTGTACAAAATGAAAATTGAGGAAATACTTGAATGGTGATATTTTTGATTTATATGTTATTTTGTGCAATCAGATTTATATTGAATTAAAAAAATGTTCATACATTTCCTCCATGGCAAATTCTACACTGAATTCAAAAAAGAAAACTTTTTGACATATTTTTAACAGGTTGGAACTATAACGAATACGTATGGCCAGAGTTAGATTTTTGTGAATGTGTACATTTAAGGCCACTCTCTGTAATATTAGATCCATACTTTAAAAGCACACAGGGCCAGTGCCCCATACTGGCCTTGCATGAAAAAGGTACTTTTTCCAAAAAATGTTTGAGGAAAGCATCACTAGTTTGAGAAAGAAGACTTTAATGCACAGTGCTCCATGAACGTTCTGCAATATAAGTCATATAGTCCCATGTCTTTAATTAAGAATGGACTTAAATGTAAACTTACACAATTAATAGACAGGGAAATACATGTAAATCTTCATGATGTCTATAAGAAGTATTTTAGGGTTCAGGACAGTAGTTGCATAAGTCCTATGACTAATAATTTAGAGGGCTGTTCAGCTTTTTTGCTTGTACATTGTGTTTAAGCCTCAACACAGAGAAACGGTTCTTATCACAAAAATTAAAATTTGCCTAGAGTCAAAAATCTGCCCAAGATTAAGAGGGAAATGTGCTAAATTCAAATCCGACTTTTTGGTCTATAAATGCAAGGAAATGTTATTAACACATTAAGTCATGACTCATTTGAAAGGTCTCTTTGTGCTTTTAAAGATAAACAATAAATCAGAATATTGAAAAATCTGTGATAAGATCCCTTTCCTGTGCCCTGGCTTATTTATTTTTATGCATTACCATTTTGCTAGGCTTTTCCATAACTAGAGAGTTCCAATGGGCTTGAATTAAGCCCAGTATATACCGGTTATACTTATTTTATTTTGTATAGATTATAATATAGTCTATTTTTTAGTCTTGTTTAATTAGATTTTCTTCATTGCTTTATGTATTTTTATGTAGCATTGTTAATATTGCAAATTTTGTGTCTGAGGTGAACACCACAGAATGTAAACTTTTTCAGTCCCATTTGTGTTTTACAGTCCCATATTGTTTGGAGTCCCATAGTTTCAGTGCTAGTTTTATGGGCCAGAAACTACAAGATTACCCTCAAATCCTTTTAATGGTACAGTACTACAGTACTTATTTTGGTGCTACTTTGCAGTTGATGTTTTGAATATGTTTTAGCAAATTTTATTCCAGTCAAAAAAGAAACCTGTACTTCATATATTAGAATCTCTTTCACACATTACATGAGAGATACATGTCTTACAACATTGTAACATCACCTGCATAGCTAAAATACTACTCTAAATCACCTCAAGGTGTGGAATTTGAAAATATGTAGTTTAGTTGTAGAAATGTTCTTCTGTGTTGCATTACTTTATTTGTGCAATATATTTATAAATGTTAAGTTTTTTGTTACTTAAAAAGGGTATACAGTAACTCTTACAGTGAACAGCTTCAGATTTTTTTATATTAAGAAATTATCAACTGGTGTAAAATATGAAGGGAAAATGAAATAAATTTATTTGTACTTTGTACTGATATGATTTTTTGTGTTTATTAAATGCTCCAAGACTTCATAAAAATCTGTTTCATAAAACTTGGATTTTCAATTCTCTTCTCTTCCTTGAAAAGTACCTCTGCATTCAACGGATAATTGAATCAAATGGTTAATGTGTGGTCAATTCAATCCTTCGTGGATCGTCTGGAGCCAAGTCAACTCAACCATTGGCCAACGTCTCAACCCTTGGCTGTTTCAACTCTTTGTCAGCTCAACCAGTGGTCAGCTCAAACTTTGGTCAATTCAACCCTTTGACACCACAACCCTTGGACAACTCCCCCTTGGTCATAACCCATTATCAAGTCAACCCTTAGTTATTTCATACCTTAGTCAACTCAACCCTTGGTCATCTCAAACAGTCATCTTAAAACTTGGTCAACTCAACCCTTGGTCATAACAACCCATTATCAAGTCAACTCTTAGTTATTTCATACCTTAGTCAACTCAACCCTTGGTCATCTCAAACAGAGTCATCCCAAAACTTGGTCAACTCAACCTCAGTCAATTCAACTTAGTCATCTCATTCAGATCACTGATCATTTGGGATTGAGTTGACTAGAGATTACTCGGTCAAGTATTGATATGACTAGGCTTGTCCCTAGAAATGCATAATGCACTTGACTTACACATATATGGAATCAACCTTTCCAATAAAGCCTTCTGCAACACCTAAAAAATCAGTATTATAGTGTTCTATCATGCATTTTTATTCCTGATAAGATGTTAATTAGAAAATTTAAATTGCTATATTTTTCACATCCACCTTTGTATTGTATTGTATCTTGGTTACCGCCATATTTGGCGAGCAATACCTCATTGGTATATTCCGTATTTTACACTCGAAGACAGAGCCAGAAACCCCTCCTTGGAGGAGCCCTTTGTTCTTCTTGCAAATCAAAGTGGGTGCCACATTGAGAATGAGAACAAATAAAGTAAACAGCATGGTAATTACTCCAAATCTGTAAATCTGATTTTTCAAGAAACCAAATGGATTCTACAATATCTCTGTCATAATGTAACCAAGTAATAATTGTGATTTCAAATCTTTTTATTCATAATTAGATTGGCACAATCATTCTACATATACAGGTATACATTATATAACAATATAAAGCTGTATAAAAAAATTTACAAAAGACATTGAATCATGCCCCCTATTGGTTATGATGTCATTCTTACAGTACCACCTATAGTTATGATGTCATTCTTTCAGTGCTACCTATAGTTATGATGTCATTCTTACAGTGCCACCTACTGGTTATGATGTCAGTCTTACAGTGCCACCTACTGGTTATGATGTCAGTTTCACAATGCCACCAATTGGTTATGATGTCATTCTTACAGTGCCATCTACTGGTTATGATGTCAGTTTTACAGTGTCACCTATTGGTTAAGATGTCAGTCTTACAGTGCCACCTATTGGTTATGATGTCATTCTTACAGTGCCACCTATTCGTTATGTTGTCAGTCTTACAGTGCCACCTAAAGGTTATAATGTCATTCTCACAGTGCCACCTATTGTGATGTCAGTCTTACAGTGCCACCTATTGGTTATGATGTCATTCTTTCAGTGCCACCTATTGGTTATGATGTCTTTCTTACAGTGCCACCTATCGGTTATGTTGTCATTCTTTCAGTGCCACCTATTGGTTATGATGTCTTTCTTACAGTGCCACCTATTGGTTATGATGCCATTCTTACAGTGCCACCTATTGGTTGTGATGTCAGTTTTACAGTGCCACCTATTGGTTGTGATGTTATTCTTACAGTACCACCTATTGGTTATGATGTCAGTCTTACAGTGCCACCTATTGGTTATGATGTTATTCTTACAGTGCCACCTATTGGTTATGATGTCAGTCTTAAAGTGCCACCTATTGGTTATGATGTCAGTCTTACAGTGCCACCTATTGGTTATGATGTTATTCTTACAGTGCCACCTATTGGTTATGATGTCAGTCTTACAGTGCCACCTAAAGGTTATAATGTTATTCTTACAGTGCCACCTATTGGTTATAATGTTATTCTTACAGTGCCACCTATTGGTTATGATGTCATTCTTTCAGTGCAACCTATTGGTTATGATGTTATTCTTTCAGTGCCACCTATTGGTTATGATGTCATTCTTTCAGTGCAACCTATTGGTTATGATGTTATTCTTACAGTGCCACCTATTGGTTATGATGTCATTCTTTCAGTGCAACCTATTGGTTATGATGTCATTCTTTCAGTGCCACCTATTGGTTATGATGTCATTCTTTCAGTGCAACCTATTGGTTATGATGTTATTCTTACAGTGCCACCTATTGGTTATGATGTCATTCTTTCAGTGCCACCTATTGGTTATGATGTCATTCTTTCAGTGCAACCTATTGGTTATGATGTCATTCTTACAGTGCCACCTATTGGTTATGATGTCATTCTTACAGTGCCAACTATTGGTTATGATGTCAGTCTTACAGTGCCACCTATTGGTTATGATGTCATTCTTACAGTGCCAACTATTGGTTATGATGTCAGTCTTACAGTGCCACCTATTGGTTATGATGTTATTCTTACAGTGCCACCTATTGGATATGGTGTCAGTCTTACAGTGCCACCTATTGGTTAAGATGTCAGTCTTACAGTGCCACCTATTGGTTATGATGTCATTCTTACAGTGCCACCTATTTGTTATGTTGTCAGTCTTACAGTGCCACCTAAAGGTTATAATGTTATTCTTACAGTGCCACCTATTAGTTATAATGTTATTCTTACAGTGCCACATATTAGTTATAATGTTATTCTTACAGTGCCACATATTGGTTATGATGTCATAATTACATTTTCAGGCTGTAAAAAACTTAGTTTTGTTCACAAACATTCGTTGCTTCCTGCAAAGTACTACATCATTAATCTAGCCAATAAACCCTACTCTCAACATCTCTGTCAAGTGATAATGCAAATAAAACTTGTAAGTTAAATTTTGATTCATATCTATTTATTTCTAACTAGTTTGGCTAGTTTGGCACAATCAATTGTTATTTACAGAATTTATAGCAAATAAAAAATAATTTTAATAATATATATTTTAATATTAAAAATTAACACTAATGATTAGCCTCTTGTATACAGTGAGATCATGTCATGGTATTGCCACTTCCTATCAAAATCACAAAACATTTATTTTGCTTGTTAACTCATTTGCTACGAATGACGTGATATGACGTCATAAAGCACATAGGTTGACTACAGAGGATGTATTTATTCTGAAAGAGTATATCATATGCTTTAAAATGATATGTATATGTTTGCCCATGTATCATGTATATACTGTACTTAACATATTATCTCAGAGGTACCATATATGACAATTTTCAAAAATTCTTCAGTATTTTAGTGCTTTTTGCCCCAGTATTGAATGAGTTAACTATACGTACATTGATACAAATGTAAACCGTCCACTAACAGAAGTAGGTTACGTTAAATGGACATATGCTGAACAAGAACACAAATGTGTACAAAATGTCCCCACCAAGTGGTGATCCCGTGAAATGGTTATCCTGAAAATGAGTAGACAAGACTTTACCAACACAATTTGAGGACGGAAAATCCAAAATGGCCACCTTAAAATTTACCCAGAATGCCAAAAATTTAGTCAGTTCTAGATTTTCATACTAAGAACCACCCCTGAAAATTTGAAATTGATCCGTCACACAGTTAACCAGAAAACATGTAAACAAGACTTTACAGACAATATTTCAGGATGGAAAATCCAAAATGGCTGCCTTGACATTTACCCAGAATGTCAAAAAACTAATCTGTTTGTAGATTTTCATACTAAGAATCATCCCTGAAAATATGAAATTGATCTACCAAACGGTTCACCTGAAAACGGGTAGACAAGACTTTACAGACAAGATTTTAGGACAGAAAATCCAAAATGGCTGCCTTAACATTTACGCAGAATGCAAAAAAAGTAATCAGATGTAGATTTTCATACAAAGAATCATCCCTGAAAATTTGAAATTGATCTATCAAACCGTTCTCCTAAAAACGCGTAGACAAGACTTTACAGGCAAGATTTTAAGACGGAAAATCCAAAATGGCTGCCTTGACATTTACCCAGAATGCAAAAAAACTAATCAGTTCTAGATTTTCATACTAAGAATCATTCCTGAAAATTTGAAATTGATCTACAAAACGGTTCACCTGAAAACGAGTAGACAAGACTTTACAGACAAGATTTTAGGACGGAAAATCCAAAATGGCTGCCTTGACATTTACCCAGAATGCCAAAAAACTAATGAGATCTAGATTTTTATACTAAGAATCATCCCTGAAAATTTGAAATTGATCCACCAAACGGTTCACCTGAAAACGCGCAGACAAGACTTCACAGACAAGATTTTAGGACCGAAAAATCCAAAATGGCCGACAATAAAAAAGTCCTTATGAGTTTTTGCTGATTTCTTTTTACAAAATTATCACATATAACTACTGTTAACAATAAAGTAGGCTTTTACAGCAAAGTACATCTGAAATTATTTATAAAGCTACTAAATAGTTAAAGTATGAAAACTCAAAAACACCATTCAATATGATACAAAGTATTATCGCGCGCTAACTTTTCTTAAGACATTCAAAATGGCTGACATGACTGAGCTAGCAGGTCCAAAACCTAATCAGATCTAGAATGAAGTGAGCTGAACAAGATGTTAAAGTTTTAAAAGCAACTGTGAAGCAGTTTTTCTTAAAGTTTGCAGACAAGGATTTTAGCATTTGACTTCAAAATGGCCGACAGGAAGTAGGTATCGAGTTAATTTTTTTTCATCCACATCTGTATGCACTCATAAGTTATCCCTGAAAATTTGAAGGTGATATCTGTAGCGGTTTTGGAGAAAACTGCCGGACGTACGGACAGACAGACGGACAGACAGACGGACAGACGGACAGACGGACGCGCCTAGGCCGACAATATGGCCCCACACTATGTGGTGGGGACATAATAAAAACTGCCGGACGTACGGACAGACAGACGGACAGACAGACGGACAGACGGACGCGCCTAGGCCGACAATATGGCCCCACACTATGTGGTGGGGACATGCCTTAACATTTACGCAGAATGCAAAAAAAGTAATCAGATGTAGATTTTCATACAAAGAATCATCCCTGAAAATTTGAAATTGATCTATCAAACCGTTCTCCTAAAAACGCGTAGACAAGACTTTACAGGCAAGATTTTAAGACGGAAAATCCAAAATGGCTGCCTTGACATTTACCCAGAATGCAAAAAAACTAATCAGTTCTAGATTTTCATACTAAGAATCATTCCTGAAAATTTGAAATTGATCTACAAAACGGTTCACCTGAAAACGAGTAGACAAGACTTTACAGACAAGATTTTAGGACGGAAAATCCAAAATGGCTGCCTTGACATTTACCCAGAATGCCAAAAAACTAATGAGATCTAGATTTTTATACTAAGAATCATCCCTGAAAATTTGAAATTGATCCACCAAACGGTTCACCTGAAAACGCGCAGACAAGACTTCACAGACAAGATTTTAGGACCGAAAAATCCAAAATGGCCGACAATAAAAAAGTCCTTATGAGTTTTTGCTGATTTCTTTTTACAAAATTATCACATATAACTACTGTTAACAATAAAGTAGGCTTTTACAGCAAAGTACATCTGAAATTATTTATAAAGCTACTAAATAGTTAAAGTATGAAAACTCAAAAACACCATTCAATATGATACAAAGTATTATCGCGCGCTAACTTTTCTTAAGACATTCAAAATGGCTGACATGACTGAGCTAGCAGGTCCAAAACCTAATCAGATCTAGAATGAAGTGAGCTGAACAAGATGTTAAAGTTTTAAAAGCAACTGTGAAGCAGTTTTTCTTAAAGTTTGCAGACAAGGATTTTAGCATTTGACTTCAAAATGGCCGACAGGAAGTAGGTATCGAGTTAATTTTTTTTCATCCACATCTGTATGCACTCATAAGTTATCCCTGAAAATTTGAAGGTGATATCTGTAGCGGTTTTGGAGAAAACTGCCGGACGTACGGACAGACAGACGGACAGACAGACGGACAGACGGACGCGCCTAGGCCGACAATATGGCCCCACACTATGTGGTGGGGACATAATAAAAACTGCCGGACGTACGGACAGACAGACGGACAGACAGACGGACAGACGGACAGACGGACGCGCCTAGGCCGACAATATGGCCCCACACTATGTGGTGGGGACATAATAAAAGGCTTGTGTCCTATGCACAATGATGTGAATAAAACCTGAATCTAATACTTTATTAATTTACCCTGAAATAACATATAGTGCTGAATATTGCACATGCAAAACAAAATGGCCACACTTTGTTATTTACCCAGCATGCCAAAAACCTAACCAGATCTTGACATTAGTTTGTTTTTGCAGTTCAAGTTGAACAATATTCTAGCTATGGCCAACAAAGTACTGTGCACCGGGTATTGTTCGCGTGCGATTTAATTTCACTTTGTTCGCGAATGTAGTAAAATCGCGAACATTTATCGTCGCAAAATTTGTCTTTTAAATCCCCGGGGGTTTGACCCGGGACTTTTTTATATGTTATGTTCGGTGTAAAACAGTTCGTCCAGTGTTGTTGGGCAATAATTCAAAAAAGGCCTAAAATGTCTAACATTATTAGCTTATTAGGCCAACAAAGGCAAGAACTGTTGACGGCAATGATATCCTACAAATTGAAGTTGAAAAAGCCATTCAAGAATATTCAAATAAATGCCCTAAACGTGGGAAATACAAACATTATTCGGATTCTGAACGGGCTAAAATAGCCAGATCCGCATTGATTCACGGTAATCAACTCAAATCCGCAATTAAATAGCTGCGAAATTTCAATTTTGAAGAATCGCGAAAATTTATAGCGTCAAAATTTACCAGGAGTACAGTACTTGCGTGACATTTCAAATGCAATAAAAACAAGGCATAAACATGTCACAATGTCATCACCTTGTAAGTTATTGCAAATTTTTGCAGAGGCTGCAAATTGTTAAAGACACCAAACGCAAGATGTTACAGACATCTATATATTGGCCACTAATATTCTGAGCTAGTTTTGAATCAGAGGCTCCAGATGCTGCCACTGAATGGAGTAATTATAAATGTTTCTATGCTACAAATGGTATAATCGCACGTCGTTCTTTCGGGTACTTCTTAAATTCTTTCTTGTACCAATCATGGCAGAGCATGGCGGCCATATACTGGTTCATCCAGACAAAAAGGACAATGCTCCACATGGTAATATTGCTGTAACCCACGATGGTGATGAAAGAAAAGTATATGATACACTCTGCCAAGTAATGAGGACAGGAGACGTAATCAAACCAGTCGCCACTGGGAATCTGGTGCTGTAGAGTTTGTACTGCGCCTGGAAATAGAACATAATGCACATGTTATCCAATATGAGGTTCAGGATATTGAGATTATCCTGAGGTGAATATAATTTTGTATGACACCTGAAAATACAACATAATGTACATGTATATGTTATCCTATTTGAGGTTCAGGATATTGATATTATTCTGAGGTGAATATAATTTTGTACTGCACCTGAAAATACAACACAATGTACATGTATATGTTATCCTATTTGAGGTTCAGGATATTGATATTATCCTGAGTTAGATATAATCTTGTACTACACCTGAAAATACAACACAATGTACATGTATATGTTATCCTATTTGAGGTTCAGGATATTGATATTATTCTGAGGTGAATATAATTTTGTACTACACCTGAAAATACAACATAATGTACATGTATATGTTATCCTATTTGAGGTTCAGGATATTGATATTATTCTGAGGTGAATATAATTTTGTACTGCACCTGAAAATATAACATAATGTACATGTATATGTTATCTTATTTGAGGTTCAGGATATTGGGATTATTCTGAGGTGAATATAATTTTGTACTACAACTGAAAATAGAACATAATGTACATGTATATGTTATCCTATTTGAGGTTCAGGATATTGGAATTATCCTGAGGTGACTATAATTTTGTACTACACCTGAAAATAGAACATATGTACATGTACACCATAGCTGGAATAGATGAGTTTGGGGTAGATATATGTCATATCTAAGAAACAGGATGGATATAGGTAATCTGTATCCCACTTAAGAGACATATATACAGTCATTGAAACAAGTGATAAGAATGAAAATGACAGCCACTACGCAACATGCCTGTACTAGTGTAGTGAACAACTACACCAAATAAATTCAAGTTAACAGACATGACGTCCATATTTTATTGTATGTTTAGTAAAATGGCCATAAAGTCTGGAATATTGAAAACAAACTTAATGTACTTTGTACAATGAAAGAACATTGAACAAGGTTTCATTGAGCCCATGCTAAATGACTGAGTTATTAACATTTGTTTGGGTTACCTTTTTTGGCTCACTCCGTATATTTCCTGACTTTTTGGCTCAAAAACATAGGCATACTGAGATTTTTTTTACCTGTTTTTGTTTTTCTGAGGTTTGCAAATATGATGTGCGCAGTATGGTGATGCCATGTGGCCCATATAAACAACACAAGACCAACAGCATGATTCCACGTTATAATATCACCGAGGAAATCCCCTGAAAACACATTTTGACAATCATTCAGTGATAGAGTGCAGTGAAAAGTAACTTTTTACTAAAACTGAAAACAATATTTCCTCAACAATGTCTTATCAGTATAGTCGTATCCTTGTTATCTTCAATTTTCCTCACCTTTTAAATTTGCCTCACCTTTTAAGATATACCTTACCTTTTAAGATTTTCCTCACCTTTTAAGATTTGCCTTACCTTTTAAGATTTTCCTCACCTTTTAAGATTTGCCTTACCTTTTAAATTTGCCTCACCTTTTAACTAAAGATTTTCCTCACCTTTTAAGATTTGCCTTACCTTTTAAGATTTTCCTCACCTTTTAAGATTTGCCTTACCTTTTAAGATTTTCCTCACCTTTTAAGATTTGCCTTACCTTTTAAATTTGCCTCACCTTTTAAGATTTGCCTTACCTTTTAAGATTTTCCTCACCTTTTAAGATTTGCCTTACCTTTTAAGATTTTCCTCACCTTTTAAGATTTGCCTTACCTTTTAAATTTGCCTCACCTTTTAAGATTTTCCTCACCTTTTAAGATTTGCCTTACCTTTTAAGATTTTCCTCACCTTTTAAGATTTGCCTTACCTTTTAAGATTTTCCTCACCTTTTTTTGCCTCACCTTTTCAGACCCTGGCCATAGCTCGGTGTTTTTGGTTCTTGACGGAACCAACTTTGTCAAGTGAATGAAAAACTGGTTGCATTTAACACTTGACACTTAATATTTTAAGGAGTTTTATATCTTTTGATATCCTATCCCTAATTGTTACTATAAAACATATTCACTCTGTACACATCTCAATGTTCACACTTTTTACTCTACCTTGGTATAGCTCTAACTTTGGAGCCTCTGCCAACGCTGCAAACCCAAATGTTGAATACAAGAGGATCCCCAGTGTGTAATGCAGTAGATTTATTGTCCCTTTTGAATATACACTGATGTAGATACATTCATAGAGACGTCTTGCATCTTGAATGAACATCAAGGCTATCACCATGGTAGCAGACACTGCATCTGGAACATTTTTATACACCTAGGTACAGGGTGACACAAAAAATGCCACTCACTAATTTTAGATTAACTTTCTCAATAGTTAAGGATTGTTCATGATTTTTTTATGTGAAGATGGAGTGTTCAATAGATAAAAGATAAGTATGCTTGCAATGCATAGCATCCAAAACCTAGAAATTAAGAGATATCTCATTTTCCATGGCGGCCCCCAGATTCCTTAATTATTGAGAAAGTTATACCAAAATTAGTGGGTGGTATTTTTGTATCACTCTGTACTTTGTACACAACAGGGTTAAATTTCACTTCATTAAGAAGCACTTGGATAAAAAATAGTGCTAAGGATTTTTGAGTTAATGCTACACAGACACAGAAATCTATCTTTATGAAGCTTTTAGTCAAAATGCTTCGTAAGTGGACCAATTTGACCCTGCTGCGAAACAAGCACAACAGGCAATAGGCCGACAGATAGATGGCGGTAAATTGCAAAACTAATCTGCCATCTATCTGTCAACCTAGTATGTACATGTATGCCTGTTGAAAATAGTAGAATTCACCTTTCCCCAAAGTCCAAAGTGTACTCATTTGACCGCTTCGCTGATTGGACGATGAAAATCAATGACGTCAAAGCAGGGCACATTTCGCGCCAAAACTTCAATTAGTATTAGATCGCCGATTGAGTGAAATAGATCTCATTATAAAATGATAACAAAACTAAGTGAAATATATTTTTCTGACTATTTTGTCTTAAGCTGTGTCTTAAATACACCATCCGGTAAATCAAACCATAGAAATAATTGTGATACGAGTGCTCATCTTTGAACAAAGTGAATCCAACTACGCAAACCAGATTGACAATCATTCAAACAATAATATACATTTATCATGATTATTCAATTAAATAGTTCATTATGTTTCTAATAAAAAGTATATGAGGAACAGTTTTAAATGTCAGAGTCCACTTGCATTTTTCTCATCGGGTTGACCCAATAATTTGCGATTGCTCATGGTCAAATTATATATTGAAGTAACTGACTCATATTCATCATACTGTAGTAGTTTGCATTTTAATTGCAATTCAAAGCTTAATTACAGGCCCGTAGTCAAAAAGTTGCCCCTTAGTAAAACCGCTCCCCAAAGTAAATCCTGACTACAGGCTTGAATTGCCGGAGTTTCTCTCTTGTAGGTCTACGTCCAAAAATATCCTGATAGTTCTCTTAAAGATCGATATTTATAAGAACGCCCATGGGCTTTTCAAGAGATAAATCTCTTGAAATAGACGATCGTGGGTAAAACAAGCAACTCTGGTACATTGTCTCAAAGCATACATGAACGACTTTAACATTGTTCAGTGAAATTAGTCATCACTCATGTAACCATTGTCAAATTCTTTGGCAGATATAAAAGTAACATTGTCATGTGGTACAATAGCTGGCTGAATGTAAGCGATAATAACGCACCGTTGGCCCAGATTTGAGAGTCGAATACTTTTTCTTCAAGGTTAAGCCGTATCCCCTTCTTCACCCCATGAGAAAATATTACACGAACTTAAGATTACCATGAGATGTTGACATTTTGACAGTCAAGAACTAAACATGGGGTTTTGTACAGTCTGCGTAATTTGAAAATGTACAGGAAACATTGGACTCTTCACATTAATATTTCTCTATTTATTTAATTTCCCAGAACATAAAGAAGGGGGAATATAGACGTGAGTATAATTAATTCAATTCCATGACATTTATCATAAATATTATTACTATTCAACATAATTTGACAATAAAAGTAACCCGTTTCCGTCACGATTCACATTGACTCCTAATGTGTTTAGATTTTCCCGCGAAAATCTGCCCTACTCTGATGTCAGAGATTTCAGATTTGCTAATTATAATATTCATGAGCTGACTTTGGGGAAAGGTGAATAACATTTTATTTAATTTGCATAATATATATGCAAATCATTTGGGACCAGAACCAATTCATGTTTTTTTGTTACTTGTATATAAAATACTATTCATTCAATTATCTCATTCAATCTCAAAAACATTATTTTATACTTACTTGTTCGTATGATTTTTGGTTCACTTAAATAGTCAAGTACGCCCTTGTATAGTGCTGGCGGTGCCACTCCCATGAAATATGACCTGCCTACTATCAATAGGACCACCCCCTGTGCCAACACGCCAATTGCATAGAAATGGATGAAAAACCTGAAAATACATAAATAGTGCCTAGATTTATATACTGTGAGAAATCACCTCAGTTCAGTTATCTTTTTTTACCACAATCGCAAAACTAAAGCGCACACGAAAAAAACTGGGAGTCACAGATCCAGATCCAGTCCCTATTGGTAGTAGGCTCGATTATTTTATGGCTTTATCAACAGACGCTTTCTTGAATGTGTGGCTTTAGTAATTGGAGATGAAGCTAACAACAGTACGCATCATTTGAGGAATGACACGTGATATTTATTGATTAACTGACTCTAAAATCAGGGTAATATATATTTTCCGAAGATTTTGTGTCTTGTCATTGAGTTCATTATTGAGCCTAGACACCAAGAAGAGGTATCTGGCAGAGGTCCGTGCTGGGAGTGTCATAATGTCTTAATTATGTTAATTAGATGCTTTATGTTATGTCATAATTGTACAAAATGTGTTACGTCACAATCTATGGAATAAACGCAGTTGATAGTCAGACACGACACGAGTGAAGTTCAGTTCTCATAACATGGTGACTAGATGTGGTTAAAATTGGATTAAATTGGTGTTTATGCCGGATATTACTCATATATAGTGCCCGATAATCCTATAGGACAGTAATGGCATCATTTAGACTGACACCACCGGAAAATTTGGATACAAATAACCCGAAACTATGGAGGTTCTGGAAGCAACGCTTCACAAGATTCAGGACAGCGGCAAAACTTGATTCTGAATCAGAGGAAAGCCAGATAAACAGTTTACTTTATATTATGGGTCCCAGATCAGAAGCGATCTATAACAGCTTTATATTCGCAGAAGGAGAGGATAGATCTAAATATGAAACCATTTTGAGGAAATTCGACGAGTATTTCGTTCCTAAAGTTAATGTGATAGACGAGCAGCGGCGTTTTCATGAGATCGCACAAAACTCTTCGTCTGTTGACACGTTCCTGAGAGAACTGTACGAACAATCAGAGGTTTGCGCTTTCGAAAATAAAGAGACGGAAATACTTCATCAGTTCGTTAATGGACTATCTAACGTGGAACTTCAAAACAAGATAAAACTGATGGACTATTCTAAACTCACGTTGCATCGATGTATCGAAATGGCAAGAATCCGAGAGGCTGTGCACGAGACTGGCCCGCCTCAACCTGTTGATGCGATTAAAGCCCGTGGAAATAGTTCAAATCACCGCAAACAGAAACCCGACCGTGAATGTGGTAACTGTCTTCGTAAGCATGCAGAGGGGCAGTGTAATGCCCATGGAAAACAATGTTCCGCCTGTAAGGGCATCGGGCATTTTAAAAGGGCATGCCGCAAGACAAAAGGTGGGACTATTAATAAACTTCCGAGTAAAAGCTCAAACAAGAAAATTGAATCTACAGAATACGTAGAAGATCAAGATGAGGATTATGTATTTCTATCGGAAATGGTAATTCCCAATGACCCAGGCATTCCAGGGTTACCAGACCGGATCTTCGGGACAGATGTCGATGTATGCTCACAAGCTTCACCCGTTCCAGGTATCCAGAGTGACGATATTAATACATCACCGCTGGCTGATTCTGTTGATATTGACAATATGACAGACGTCACAGATGTGAATGATCAAGTACCAGCGTGGTTTAAAGAACTTAGGATAGCAGGTAACAATCCCATTCGTTTCAAAATTGATTCAGGGGCTGATGTTACCATGATCACCAGTGATACATACTCTAGTTTGCCCAATCCTCCTCCATTACGTCCGAGTAGAGTTAAGCTCAGTAGTCCAGGGGGTCCTGTCAAATGTAAAGGGGTGTTTACCGCTCAAATTCCCCATGCGTCACGCAAATACAGGGTAAACATGCACGTCGCAGATACTTTTTCTGGGGTAAATCTTTTGTCCAGGGGCTGTGCTGTAGCCATGGGTCTTTTCAAAGATTTAGGGTCTGTTCATGATACCTTTAATGACTGTTACGGTGACGTTGGTAAGATTGACTGTAAGCCAGTTCACATTGACCTAAAATCAGACGCTGTGCCTTATAGTGTACCTTGCTCCAGACGTTTACCTTTACCATTAATGGCTAGAGTGAAAGATAAGTTAGAAAAGCTTGAATCTCAAAGTGTTATTTCACGCGTTACTAGTGCCACTGATTGGTGTGCTCCAATTATCGCGGTAGAAAAGAAAAATGACGCTGATCCAAGAATTTGTGTGGATTTACGTCGTCTAAATCTCAGTGTGAAACGTGAGAAGTTTATCCTCCCTACACCAGAAGACGTTTTGCACAAGTTGGCCGGCTCCACCGTGTTTAGTATTTTGGACGCGTCGAGTTCTTTTTGGGGTCTCACATTAGATCACGAATCATCTCTATTGACTACGTTCATTACGCCTTTTGGAAGGTATAAGTTCAATCGCGTACCATTTGGTCTTAACTTCGCAAGTGAACTTTATCAGAGACATATGAGTGACATATTTTCGAAGGTTGATGGTGCCGAGGTCGTAATCGACGATATAATCGTACATGGAAAAACTCAAGCAGAACATGATAAAAATCTCAAGAACGTGATGGAACTCGTAAGAAAGGTAGGGATAAAGCTCAATCGCCGAAAGTGTAAGTTTTCATTGCCGGAAGTCACATTTGTTGGCAATCGAATTTCAAAGGACGGTGTAGCTCCTTCACAAGAACACATAAAGGCAATTCAACAGCTAAATACACCTACTGACGTCACAGAACTACGTAGATTTTTAGGTATGGTCAATTTTCTATGTCGTTTCGTGAAAAACTTAGCTGAAGTTGCAGCTCCGTTGTATGCATTGCTTAGAAAGGATGTTGTTTTTCAATGGGAAAAAGCCCAAGATAATGCTTTCAACGAAATCAAACGAATGATATGCAACGCGCCGGTACTAGCTTTTTACGACGTTTCTCGTCCTACTATTGTTAGCGCAGATAGTTCTAGCTACGGAATCGGGGCGTGTCTTCTTCAGAAAAGTAAAGATGACATTTGGAGACCGGTTGCATTCGGATCAAGAAGTTTATCTGAATCGGAAAAGAAGTATGCCCAAATTGAGAAGGAATGCCTTGCTTCGGTATGGGGGTGTGAACATTTTTCCAGATATTTAGTCGGTTTACCCGAATTTGAAATTTTTACGGACCACAAACCCCTTGTGCCGTTGATAAATTCCAAAGACATTGATAAAGCGCCGATTAGGTGCCAGAGACTTCTTATGCGATTGATGCGCTTCAACGTGCGTGCTAAATATGTCCTGGGAAAGGATATGGTAATAGCGGACACATTATCGCGCGACCCGATGAAACCGTGTAATGAAAAACAGGATGATTTGGAAGTAGATATAGAATCTTATCTGTACTCACTTGACAGAAATAGACCTATCGCTGATCGGTTATTGGAGAAAATCCGCGAAGCTACAACTTTGGATGCTGATCTTTTACAGGTAAACAAATACATTTCTCTTGGATGGCCACAATCTATTAAGAGTGTACCGCCAGCTATCAAGCAATATTTTGCAGAACAAGGTATGTTGAGTTTATATAACGGAGTTATAACACATGGGTCGCGTGTTGTCGTACCTCGGAGTTTGCAGAGGGATATGCTTGAACGCATCCATCATGGTCATTTAGGCATTACAAAATGCAGATTGCGCGCGAATCAATCTGTATGGTGGCCTGGAATGAGTTCGCAGATAAAAGATATGGTAAGTAAATGTGCTCATTGTGTTGTTTCAAGGCCAACTCAAAAGCATGAACCACTAATACCTACTATTCTACCTGATAGGCCATGGTCATTAATCGCAGCGGATCTTTGCGAGTTCCAGAATCAACACTGGTTGGTGATCGTGGATTACTTCTCTCGTTTCCCAGAGATCGCGCTCATGAATAAAAACATTACATCAAAGAATGTGATAGACAAAAAGAAAGGCATATTTGCCAGATACGGTATTGCTGATGTTGTGTCGGATAACGGTCCTCAATTCGCAAGTCAAGAGTTTGCAGATTTTGCTAAGAAATACAATTTCCGTCACATAACTAGCTCGCCACATTTAAGTCAGTCAAACGGACAAGTAGAGAGAGGAGTGCAAATAATCAAACGGTTCCTATCGCAGGATGACCCATTTCTCGCGCTTCTCACTTATCGCTCTACGCCACATATGTCCACAGGTGTTTCCCCAGCACAATTGTTGATGGGAAGACAAATAAAATCGACTGTACCAACTTTACCCAACAACTTAAGTCCACATTGGCCCAACCTAAGACAAATTGCTAAGCACGATAGCAGTGCTAAGGCAAAGTACAAGACTAACTATGACAATCGCCATGGTGTGAAACCTTTGACAGAATTACCTAAAGGTGACAAAGTACTCGTTAAACTTGACAATCAAAAAGGATGGAAAACTCCAGGTATAATCAAAGCCAAACATGACTCACCAAGATCGTACATTGTACAGACTGACCGGGGTACTGTTAGACGAAATAGACGCCATCTAATGCCAGACCCTAACTCTAAATTAAGGGATCTCAGTCCTATTCCATTTCCAATGGAATTCCCCGCCCCCTCAATTACCAATCCTAGTAGTTCTGGTATTTCGCCCGACATTGTGGATCATGGTAAGCAGTCTGTGAATGTTAAAGAGGAATTACCTCAACCAAGAATGGAATTGTTGCCAAGTCCAAGAGTCATACAAACACGTTCTAAATCTGGTATAATTGCAAAAAAGCCATCCAGATTTATGTAACGGACATTGTGATGCATTGTTAGTGAATCGCAAATGATAAAGTGTTCAATTAAGACTGACATTATTATCACTATATAATGTTTATGTTTTAAAGCTGACGTTGTACGTTTTATATACAAACTACAAGCTTTCTATATGCATGAAGGACAATGCAAAATTCATTTATTTGCTAAGACATGCGATGGACATATTACATGCAATTCATTAGTGTATTATCATCCTAAAAGGGGAGATGTCATAATGTCTTAATTATGTTAATTAGATGCTTTATGTTATGTCATAATTGTACAAAATGTGTTACGTCACAATCTATGGAATAAACGCAGTTGATAGTCAGACACGACACGAGTGAAGTTCAGTTCTCATAACAGGGAGTACAGTATATTATGTGTAGGTGCCACAGTTCAACGATATCTTCCACCGCTTATGGAAAATTAAATTTCTGGGCATGTTGCTTGTTAATATTTTATGTCCGATGTATGTGAGCTAAGCTCAGGGGCGGATGTAGGAACCAACAAGGGGCGGGGGGCAAATCTCAGGTCTGAAAAATTTTGAGGCCCATTTCCTTCAACTTTTGGCCTAAAATTAATAAGAAGGCCTTCAAAAGGCCAATAATGACTAAAAAGGCCTACTTTTTGGGGCCTTAGGCCTTTTTTGGCCCGACATTTTTCAGGGCCCAATTTTTTTTGCGCCGAAGCTTCACTCATATATCTTTCATCTACTTAGTGAGGTCCAATCAATTTCATCACTCAACACAAAAGCTTGCCAGGCAAATGAACCACACCGAAAATCTGGGCAAGGAATTGCAAGCAATATCCAATTTGTGAGCAGCTACATTTATAATTGGTAAGTCTATCAGATAAAGGAAACGGCATCATTGACTTCTTACTGTTTTAGATATAACCATATGATTGTGATATAGAAAAGTGGAATCAACGGATTGTTATTTAAATGGCAGAGCTGCATAAAGTAATAATTATACGTTTGTTTACATTTTAATGGGCGATAATAGGTGAAAAGTAAATTACCTTTTTGGAATTTCAATTTTCCGAACAGCTGTAACATCTTTACGCTGTCCTCTTACTTTACCATAGAGAAGTAGGTCTTGTATAACTTGTGGAAGGTTGGAAGCATATCTTAATAGTGTACCAACGAGTAAAATTGCTACTCCACACACGAGCCAAAAGCATACTATTAAAAAAGCCATGAGTACTGTATAAATGTCAAACTAAATAGGTCACAATAAATAAAGAAATGATATATTTTTATTCTATTTTATGGTACTCTGCAGTGCAAATTAAATTGCTTTAATATGTACTTTAATGCTTTAATATAAACTTTTCAGAAATGGTACTTTCTAATCTCTTTTTAGTTAAAGAAAACATGATTAAATTACGTTTTCGTTGAACCCAAGTTTTGTTCAAATGCGTGATTGACAGTTCAAAAGTTTTGTCAGGTAAATATTTAACTTTTTATTGTTTAAAATATAAACCACAAAGTAAACACAATTCACAATGCAATCTCACAATATATTTCACTCATATATACATAGCTATATGTAGTAGACTAGTTCGTGTTGCTGACAATGTTCTTAGGAACTAGAATGTCAAAACGGTTGGAAAGTCATCCCGGTATCTTCAGTATATTCACCAATGTGGGGTTATTTTTCAAATCAGAAAATAACAGGCATGTCAACTGTCCAGCAATTTGCATATTTGTTACACATTTGCTGAAGAATTTGAAGTCACGGCAGTTTTTTACATGACAGAACAGGCCCGTAGCCAGGATTTGCCAAGGGGGGTTCAGTTTTCAAAAATTTCCAAGGGGAGTTCACATTAGACAGGCTACGGGCCTGCAGAATATGTCACTCAAATACACATTTCATCTGATTCAGGGATCTGTTGTCAAGCAAAATTATTTACGGAGAATAACATAAAAAAAACGCTGAAACATCAAAAAATGAATGCAAAAAATAGAACACAGTTTGTTTGTAATTTTCATGTGAATTGCATATATATCACGCATTTGCTTCAAATTATTTTATCCAGCGATTTGTAATGAAATGCTATGTGATGTAGTAAAGCCGAGAGAATTTTCAAACTACTGAAATGAATGGTGAATGGGTACTCTAGCAGGCTGTCCACAATTTGCGAATTTGTCATGCATTTGTTGAAGAAATTGAAGTCTCACCTTTTTTGCGTAACAGAATTTGTCACGCAAATATGCATTTTTTCTGAGTATTGTCAATCAAAAATATTTCAGTAGAAGGACATTAAAAAAGAAACGCCGAAAAATGAATGTTGAATATCCATAGGCAGCAATCCAAAAGATTTGAACAATTATATTTTGATCTAGCTCTTCTTTCTTGTGTGTTTTCAAATTTTTTATTGCAAAATAAGACCAAAACTTGCAATTCAAATTGTAAAGTGAAAAAAATGGGGGCCATTTGATTTTTAAATTTAAGGATACTTTTAGATGGTGGTTCAGCTATATTTAACCTCTTGACTACCTGGACTGACAAGATTTCTCGTCACCTCAGCAATAACCTTGAAACCCAGAGTGACGAGAAAATCTGTCACAATTTTTTCACTAAAATTGCTCTTATTTGAACAATGTTCGACCAATTTACACAAAAATTGTTTTAAAATGTGTAGAAATTATCTCTGCCGACTAATTTTACTAAACTGAGCATCTAAAATTCTATACGTATATAGTAGTGGAATAGTGGAATGAAGCAGCTACAATGCATTGAGTCTTGGGCTTAAATTCTTTTCAAATATTGCAAAATATTTGCTACAAAATCATCTAAAAGGAACAAAATTACTAAAGTACCCATTTTAATGAGATTTTTTGCAAGGGTCAAGTTAGCAAGTCATCAAATCCAATGTGAAAAATCCATTCATCACCACGACAACTGTTTAACTAGTAACCTTGAGTGTGTTATTGATTATTTCATGCACTGCTGTCATGTGAAATACTGTGTTCAGATTGGCTGAAATCAGACACACACATGTGTGAATGTCCCTTCATACAATACTTAACTTCATGTGTTGAATCTGCTATTGACAAGAAAATTCCCCTAATTTATGTATATTCCAAATTAATTAAAAATTAATTGAAGTTAGAAGATTTCTTCTCTCTATGGACTAATGATAAATCTCTCAGGTCCTTTTCACTTTGGATGGGTAGATACCCTAATTCTTTATACAATGAATGACAAGCCGTATCGACTGATTTCACTAAGTCATACTCTATTGTCTTTTTCCAGGCATAAGCTGTTGCATTCGAATCACGTCTTTGTGTACCAAACTGTCTTTCTTTTGTATATTTATTCGTGGTACTGTGAGCAATGAAGCTATCAATGTTTTTTGTATAGTCCATCTGTAAATGTCTATAAATATTTTTAATTATTTTTTGAGGGTGTTCGGCTAGGTCTTCATACCTCAGTCGGTGAATAGAGTCTGGGAAATATTTTTTAATTTGTATTTGGATGAGAACATCTTTGTACATTCTTTTACATAAGGCATCTGCTTCTGTAATGAGTTGACTCGTTTTGCGACCAAATTGTCTCGACTTGAGCATCGCTCTTGGGTCTCGTACTAAATGAACGACATTGACCTTTGATGGACAGTTACTGTATGTGCTCAAAAGGTGGCGAATGGATTCCATTGTTGATCTTACAGTTTTTGTTACTATGATCTGAAAAATTGGAGAAGTTCATGTTCAAAATGAAATACTAGTAATTTTCAATATGTATTATATAATGATTTGAAGTTGTCTTTTCAAACTGGTATATTGCACCAAGTTTATTTTACCCCCTCATGTATACATGGTGCTCTGCCCAGGATTTTTGTTGTATGGTTCAGGATTTTTTTTTTTTTTTAGTGCAACATGTTCCTAATTTTTAAACTTTTTGTGCAGTACTTGATGATTTTGTAATTTTTCTGTGTAACATTTTACGATTTTGTAATTTTTAGTGCAACACTTAAGAATTTCTTTATTTTTTATTTTAACATTTCAGAGGCGCATCTAAATTCCATTGAGGAGCATTTATAAAATATGGAGGTGCTACTCCTCAGAGATTCCAATTTGGGGAGAGCACTGGGCATATACAATCACATACAGGGGTGTCATTACCAGCAGGCAACTGGCGATTTTCACCTGTTGTTTTCACAAAATCGCCTGTTGTTTTTGGGAACTTTTCAACTTTTTATGTTTAATTTATGATTTTGCCTATTTTTCATTCATTTAGCCTGTTGTGAGAAATTCTAGTGAAACCACTGACATATATCTTACCTTCTTTGCATTACATGCTTTCATTGATAAACGTATACATTGTGTCATGTTACTCCCCCTACATTCTTGGATACGTCCAATTTCGGTACTTTTAACATGCAAAGCATCATCTTGCATTATGGGATGGTCTTTTGGAAACTTGTCGAATTCACATCTTAAGACGTGTCCAATTATGTCAGAGACGTATCTGTATCTTCCGGATGTATCAATTTCTCTTGGATAAGGCCACTGTCTAGAAAAAAAATGAATATGATACAGGGCATTTTCTCTATAGTTGAGTTACTCAATCCTTATAAAATAAATAAATTATGTTTTTTCCTAAACCAATCGACATATCTCTCTATAATTTTAGGATACACTTGACCATTGTACTAGTGACATATTATGAAGGAATCAGTACTATACCAAATATTTAGTTGATGTTATAGAATGGATTTATTCGGCTTGTGTGTTTTAATGCATATTAGCTTACTAATTAACATATAAATTTTAATTCCTTTTTTTACATTAACTCAATTTGATTATTTGTGCAATATAATACACTATAATATCTGTCTTAGCTTGTATTCGCGAATGCAACTAACGCCGCCGGCTACCGGATTAACCTACTATTTTATGGCAACTCATTTAAATATGAATAGTACCTACCACTATTCCATTCATATTTAAATCAGTTGGTCATAAAATAGTAGGTTAATTCAGTAGTCGCTAGCTGTCAGTTGCATTCGCGAATGCAAGCTTATATTTTACTCTTACTACTGGTATTATTAATCTATTGTCACCTGATATAATTGAACCTAAACATATACAAGTATTTCATAACTTCAAAATATTTCCAAAACAATAACCTTTAACATGTAATAGCAGATAGACTTGAAATTACACATTCAGTATTAAAACAACTTTGCTTATAAAATCTAATATTTTATTATTCAACTGAAATTATTTAATTTAGTAATTTACATGATCAAGGAGGGAAATTGGTAATTATATCAAAAGTGTTATAAAAACAAGACATTAATGTCAATGATGCAATTCTTATATAATCTGGAACAATATCCAATCATCACATCTTCACTTATGTCTGAAATTATTTGCAATAACCTATATGCCAAAACTCATTTATCATAAAAGAGTATTATACCGTTTCTACTTTTCTCATTTATTAAATTGTAATGTAATCCGTTTCATTCTGACATATTAATCCTATTTTATTTAAGATTTAAATTCTAAAAATACAGTTCATTATAAAATTGATTCTAAAAGATACAGTGCTGCTTCATTGTGAATTAGTAACTTTTCAGAAAAAAACTATTATCAAGAATCGAATTAAATGGGCAAATACTATGTTTTAATATTCTGATGAAACAATTTTGCTCCTAGACATCCCGCCCTTGTTTTAGATTTGAATGGGACTACTACGCTACATAGGTCTACATGAACACAGTAAATGATTAAATCCATTCTGATACTTATCACATATTTCTGCCTTCAATGAGAAATATGAAGGCCATGATTTCTCATGATGGGCTAAATCTTATGCTAATTTAATTTATGAACTTTTGAGAATTTTTGACAGGGGGTTTCACACTTATCACCACATGCCCATATATGGGACAGAATATCAGTGTTGCACTCTGGGAGCCAATCCTCCTTGACCATTTAGCGCATACTGGTAGGATTCATGCATTCAGTTTCTAGTGCCTTCATTTCTGCTACATGCAAGTAGAACAATGCACCTGACAGATGCCATATCCCACAAACTCCCCCCCCCCCACTTATCATCCTCCTAAGCAGGTGTACAGAATCCATACCTCCTTCCCCTTGCTATAACCAATTTGGGAGTGCCCGATTAAACTGAAGCACATGATCTAATTATGCGCAATGACTTATACATGATTTCTGTTGCAACAGCCAATCAGATTGCGAGTTCTTAATCGGGTCAGTCGATCCTTTTTTATTTTATTTTATTTTTTGCAAATCCCTACTCGTCTATTATGGCCTAGTCACATAGCCCGGCCGATGAGGTTACGATGAGCCAGCGATGCAATTTTCACCGAACTCGGCCGAACACCGGCTGGACACCGGCCGGACATCCGTGGCATTTGTTGCTTAAAACCGCATCGGTGGTAGCTCGGTGAAATTTTAACTTCGGAGTTAAATTTCACTGGGCTCTCACCGAGCTCCCTCATCATGTCATCCCAGCCCCATCGTAACCACATCGGAAAACACGTTGGCTGGTGCACGGCCGAGTATCGGCCGGTGTCCCGTGCATCTGAGACAACCAGAGGATGAGGTTTTTTAACGGACAGCGGCCGAGCTCCGACCGAGCTCCGGCCGATGTGGGACAGAGCATCGGCCGGTCACTGTTCAAAGCCCGTTTACAACCCGGCCAGCGATCGCACGGTGTCCTGTTACCTGCTCGGTTACCGGCCATATTCCTTGCGATGTCCGGCCGACCTCCGGCCGGTGGTTGCTGCCACATCGGCAGAAAAAAACTACCATTTTGAGACAGACTCCGTACGGTCACCGGCCGGTGTTCGGTCGGTCGCCTGAAGATGTCTGGACGGAGTCTGTTCACGTCACCGAGCTCTGCTTCCGATGAGGAGAGCTCGGTGGCACCAAAAAAATCCATCGAGCTCTACCGATGCCGGACATCGGCCGGGCTATGTGACTAGGCCATTATACTGTAAACCTGATTGATTATTTTTAATGGGACAATAAGGTTGTTGCTATATAGCTGACTAAATAGATATCACCACTTGTTTGTATTTGTTTTGGTTAGGCCAGACTGCCATAGGCTACAATGTTAAAAACTTGCAACAGTCACTTAATTACATGATTTATCGAAAAATGTCAGTTGAATCTGTTTAAAACTCAAATGGCATACTATGAGATGAGCTTATGAATGCACTTACTGTGATTTATGATCAAAATTTTGGTTGTTGTAGGGTATAAACCAAGGTTTTTAAGAACTTTAAAATTGTATCAATGGAGATTTGGCCAATATTTTTTTGGAAAAGTTGAAAAAGTCATGAGAAATAATTTAAATAACATTACTATATAAATCAAAATTATGATTGTGAAAAACCTTTGGCTGACTTCAAATATGCTATTAAAAGAAGGAAAAGTAAGTCATGAGAGGTTTAATATGCAAATCTCTTAAAATCTCATGAAAACGAAAATTAGCAAGATTTCAAAGCTGTATAGAAACTCCTAAAATTATAATTAATAAACAGTTGAAATATCAACGAATCTTGTTTTTATTTAATATCATTTTTTTGATATTTTGAAATAGCCTTTTAATATCATTTTTTGATATTTTGAAATAGCCTATTTTCTGTCAAGTGGAACACCTTTATATGTGGAGCACCTGTACAAGTGAAACACCTCTATAAGTGAAACAACTTTATAAGTGAAACACATCTATAAGTGAAACACCTGTAAGTGAAACACCTGTAAAAGTGAAACAACTTTATAAGTGAAGCACCTCTTTAAGTGAAACACCTCTGTAAGAGAAACACTTCAGTTTCTTATGACACTTTGACTTTATGTTAATAAGCTTGTGTTTACAAGTAGAAAACCTCTCTAGAGTCCCCCATATGCTCCACTTATACAGGTTGAATTATGCATACATGTATTACACGTATTAATTAATAAAGTACATCCTGACATACCTATGTTTGGGCCTAATTGGCTCATAGAAATAAAACACTTGTTTGTCGCTGTGAAAAATATCTCCAAGAAATGACGATCCTGTCCTTTCGTAAGCAAATATAATCAAAGCCTTGTGTTGATGTGTCTTACATACTGTGTCATTGAGTGTCACTCTGAAGTTTGAAGTGTCTTGAGACGCAATGCCATGTTTTATTTTATAAATTAGATAGGCAGTTCCAACTATACACATAAGCATAAATAATGTTTTGATAAACATTTGTAAATGACAACATCTGTTGATCTTAGAATATCCATCCATTTTTGATTATTTGATTAGTATGCTATTATGATTCTTTTGAAAAAATATAAATCCTAAATGATCTGTAGCAACCTGTAAGAATCTGTAACAACTATTGATCAATGTTTGAATATACTGAATGTCAGACCATATTACATTAGGCTCATAACAAGAGAAAAAATATACATTTTTGATGCTAAAAAGTTCTAATGAATCCTGAAATGAATGCTATTATGATTCAGCACTATTTTTATGTTATTTTTGAGTGCCTCCAAGACTCGATGGCCCGTGATCAATGAAATACTCTTTGATAATTGATTGATTAAATAATTTATTAATTTGATTAACAAAATATTGATGGATGAATGGCACATTGTGATAAAATATCAACTTTTTAAATCATTCATAAGAATGATATATATTATCCTGAGACTAACATAAATGATATGATAACATAAATGATATGATAACATAAATGATATGATAACATAAATGATATGATAACATAAATGATATATATGATGGTTTCAGATATTATCCTATGCCCGGTACAGTTTCAGAGGGACAAGTTCGTAAGATATATGTTTCTGCATGCCTGTAGTCAATGGAGGTTCGCGGGGTTCCTGCAAGCCCTGGTCAAAAATTCCTGAGAATTCATTAATTTTATCTATGTCTCTTTTAGAATCAATATTTTATATTGCAGTATGTTTTCAAAATTTAAATCTCAAATAAAATAAGATTTGTGAGCCATGTTTTCATGCTACTAGCCCATGTATAAGTACTGTTTATAATTAGAAGGCTTATATGTTACCTCTATTAATTGACTTCAGCAATTGGTGAAGCCATAGTGATGGGGCCCCATAGTGGTCATTACCTGCTCTAGATGATGGCCCAAAATGTTGCCCTTTGAAATGAGGCTGAGATTAATATTGAATAGCTAAGAATGTGATCATAATCATACAAGACTGCATGATATGCTTCTAAAGATGAGCCATTTTAGAAATCGCCAAATACCTCAAAAGGGCTTACCCGAAAAAAATTGAAAGTTTAAGTAGTCATAAAATTAAACCACATATATTAAAGAGTTTTTGGGATGATAAAAATCTTTGTTGGGGTTCTATTAACTTTTGTTTACTCACTTCATATAGCTGTTAATTCAAATCATTTTTCCTGCAAACATTTTAAAGTAAAAGTCTTTGTTATTTAGTTTCAAGTATTTGTATTCTATTTATTAGAGAATCTGATATTTAGTAAATGTATGTTTTTTCAATATTATACTACTTTATAAAGCAGTTTAAGGGGTGATCCATTTGATTTTATTATGTGTGAGTTTAGTTTTGAAATCGCTTTCAGATGGTATACTTTTTATACCACTATATACATACAGGTGTATATCTAGTTTTGTATTACTTTCGGTAGACACTATATAATACCAACTTACATTACTTGACAACTTAAACCCAAGTTTATCCCAGACCTATCACATAACTTGTATTGATACTTAGTTTATTTCCTTTGTTCCATAAAAATATTATCTAGCGTATATAACTAAGTTTGAATTTTGCCCTCAGGTGGTATATAACATTGAAGCCAGTGTATAACCTGATATCTGAAAATAAAATTAAAGGAAATAACAGGAAATCATACTTTTAAAATTGTGGAAGGAAAGATGAAAAATATATACAATGTAATGACTATATACCTTTAAATAGTATATTTGCTGTCAGATGGTATATTACATTGACACCAGTTCATTACCTGATATCTGAAAATAAATTTAAACAAAATAATAGGATAGGTGACTTTATATACTGGAGTATCATTTTGAATTTTGCTTTCAGATGGTGTATTACATTGACACCAGTTCATTACCTGACAACTACAACCCGAATGTTGCGAGTGGTGTAGATGGTCAATCCTTAGACACACCTTACACTGTAGGTAGGACTTATTCATTAGATGTTTAAATGTCACATTAAGAAATGTGACATATTATTGTAATTAGATGTTTATAGTTGTTATGTCATGTTAAGAAGTGTGACACATTTTTGTAATTAGATGTTTCAAGTTGTTATGTCATGTGAAAAAGTGTGACATATTGTTGTAATAAGATGTTTCTACGAAAAGTACTGTAGTTATTATGTGTTAAATTAAGAAGTGTAACATCATTTTGTCTTTTGACCAGTATTTGCCATTTATAATTGATGTCAGCATCTGTAACAGTAGTTATACTTTGTAACCATTTCCAGGTGATATTTGACATTTTGTCATGTAAATACCTTGCAGGTTTTTGATTAATCAGGAGGCATAAACGTAATAGGGATGCATTTTCTCCAGTTGTAATAACAAAAAGCATCAAAGTTTTTGTTTTGTTTTGTTTTGAGGAATCTTGTTGATGTTGTAAAGAGGGCATTGTCAGCTGTTTTTGCATCCAGCTTGGTATCAATTTAGCTATAAGATCAAGAATTTAACATCTGGCACTTGGTGTATAACTGAAAAAAAACATGAATTTTTGAAATAAATTTTTATTTGTCTTCATTCGGGATTCCTAGACTTTGACTCATGCATTTGTCATTTCTGACGTCACTGACCACGTCACAACTAAAGAATTAATATTCATGTTGAGATAATGAGAGAATATTATTAGATCTCGTTATTTCATTTGTTCATGGAATTCAGCAAACAGTCACAGATGCTGCATGAGTAAACAGTACGTAGTAAAGAATGTTTTTATTATTACACCTGATAGTTATATTACTGTTTATGATGTTTTTTGTCATGTTTATTAAATATGCAAGGTTGTGTATTCTGCAACAGGTGAAACCTTGTAAATATTCGTGCAATGAAACTATATCTGGTGGTGGGAAATATTCCATTGGTGAATATGTTCATGTGGTGAAACTTAATGTGGTAGAAATATTTATGTGGTGAGAGTATTCATTTGATGTAGATATTTATGTGGTGAAGATATTCAGTTGGTCAAAACTCATATGGTGAATATTATAGGAATATCCTATGGTTTTGAAAAAATATCATTTATATCCATGAGTGGATATTGATATCTTCATGAGTGAGCGCAGCGAATGAGTGAAGATATTTGTATCCATCCATGAGTGGATATAATTGATATTTTTGAATCAAATATCACTTTTCAAACCAGGGAATATCACTTTTTAAGACATGATATTCGATAGTTTAAAAATGATATTCGAAAAAGAAATCACATAAAGTTTACTCATATATATTGAGAGGTGCCGAGATTTGAGATGTGTTTGGGTATACAGGTTTTACTGTATTTTTTCTCAGCCAGGTAGCGACTCGAATCATACCGTATATGAGGTTGCACCTGTGGTATGTAACTTTAAAACAAGCTCCAGAAAATCAAAGCTGGAAAATCTGGAATTCACTAGTTTCTGATTTGATTTTATCTTAATCTTGATCTAATGAGTACCTGGTGTCAGCAAGGTTTTTCTCCATTGGTTACGTTTTACAAATATATTTATTGAAAAGGTACTTGTCTTTTACTTGCTTTTACTAGACTTTATATCTCATTTTTTTAATTTCAGAAAAGTTGAGATATTTTTTGAAGAAAATTCCATTGAAAATTAAAGAGTTCAACATTTAAGCATGGTTGCATTTAAGCATGGTAGCATTTAAGCATGGTTATTGCTGCTTTTGCTCAGATTTTGTGTTTTTGAGAAATTGTATGACAGCTGGTTAATTCATGTAAAAGGCGCATGTTTGCAATAATTTTGAGTTGTGATCTGATAAAATATTTATTAAGAAGAGATGTAGCAACTGGTTTTATGTCTGATGAATTGATTTAAAAGCATCGTAAATTAATTAAGAAAGTACATAATTGTTAGCCAACAGAAGTCATCTCAAATTTCAAGTAAGTTCCTCTTAATTCAGGTATCCATTGTGAAATATTTGAAACTAAAAAGTGGTGATGAAGTGAAAAAAGTGAGAATGGTCCTTTTTCAATTTTTTTCTTCATATGCTCAAAACTCCACATAAATCTGTTAATTTTGATTTAGACATGCTAACTTTGAACAAAAATGTGAGCTGAAAAGAAGATGCATATAACAATATTTTTTGCCTAAAATGCCTGAAATATGTATCACTGAACATCACTGAAACAGACCAACCCTCTCCTAATTTGGCTTAATAAAAATTGGCCTTATTTTTAGAAAATAGGCCTCTTTTGAATAAAATAGATCTTGGTTTCTGAAGGCCTTTGAAAAAAAGGAAAATTCAACATTTTTTCTTGCCAGGAAAAAAATTCAGCAAAAAAATTATGTGTATATAGTCCTAAACCTCATTGTCGAATTTCAGGTTCAGCCCTCGATGCTTCTTCATGAGAAACGATCTATTATTATGGAAAAGAATGAAAAGGTCATTTTGACCTAATATGAATGATTAAACACATGGTGTGCTCATCAGTCATTTTATAAAACATTCTTTCAGTGAGAAAAATACATTTTGTTCATATTTTCTCTCACTATGAAAACGTAATGTTTCCCAACAAAGCAATTAATACTACATGTAGGGGCCGGGTCAATATTTCAGTATCCGTCAAAAAAGTAATTTATTTAGCTAGGTCCAACCCCCCCCCCCCCCTCCTCCCCCTTCTCACGAAAGTCAAAATGTTGATTCGAGTGTGTCTGCATGCAGTGTACATGTAGACTTCCTTACAGTCTCATGAAAATGTTTTAGAAGCAGTCACAAAAGTAGAAAATATAATATATATATAAATA